TTTTTTTTTTTTTTTTTTTTTTTTTTTTTTTTTTTTTTTTTTTTTTTTTTAGGTTCGATTTTTTTTTTTTTTTTTTTTTTTTTTTTTTTTATATGAACACATACGCCCCGTCATATTCTGGGGGGCGTGCATGAAAGGGCAAATATTCTTTTCTGGACTGGTGTCAATATAAACACGTGCAGCGAATTTGGCTTGAGCGCAATGCTCGATGTGCAAAATCCAGTGTTTGACAAAGAGATCCTACGTGAGGTCCTTGCTCCCTCCAAAGCAGAGCCCAAGGTAACCAACAAGCACGAGCAGTCTAACCACAAACCCATACATGCATCCCCATTAGACCGCTAACTCTATCCGACAAACCCCTCATAAGCCAGGACCCAACATACAACACCATGGACAATCCCTTGGGTGGTGCGCTGGCAGTGTCTGTAATAGCTTACCTGCATCAGGCCGCCTTGCGTTATGTAAACACCCGCCGGTGTCTCCACAATGCGCATTGACAATTGGTGCCCTAACCATTGAGTCACAGACCACTAACAGAATGGAGACGTTGTACCCGAAAAGGACAGAAAAACGGAAGTTAATCTTTTGCTCTGGCGGTACGACTCTTACCCAGAATGATTGAAGGGTCAGGCCTCTTTTGTTTGTTTGTTTGTTTGTTTGTTTGGTTTTTAGGCCTCTTTTGTTCTTTGTTATAAAATGTGGGGTGCCAGTCAGTCTTTATTAGCTTATGATGAAATCACGTACATCCGACATATTATGGCCTGAACCCTGGCATTGACGCAAATATGTCTTTGTTGTGTTGTGTGGAGCTATTCTTCTGTGTGGAGCAGGCTGTTTCTTTGTTGGGAAAACTAGGGTCAGGATAAGTAGCGTTTTTTGCCTTTGAAAAGCTTGTTCAGATTTTCAGATTCTCGGTCAAATGAGTAGGTTTAAGTGCTAGGTGGTCATGTATATCTGGCTGCGGATTCTCGCACCTGATCCCACTATACCGTTAAGGCCTCTGTCGGATTTTCCTGCTCCTTCCCCCCATCAGGGCTGTACTTGGTTCCCAGGTCATGGTATGCGCTTGAATGACCTTCATGATAACTAGCGTTTTTTGCCTTTGAAGAGCTTGCTCAGATTTTCAGATTCTCAGTCAAATGAGTAGGGTCAAGTGCTAGGTGGTCATGTATATCTGGCGCCCTGGTCAGGATGAAAAGGCACAAGATTCAGGACTTTACCACTTTACGCTCAATATCCACGGATCAGAAGGGACACTAGGCCCAGTTCCCAGCATGAGTTGTACCCTTACCTTTCATTGCTACAATGGGACGCTGCACCCGTTTTCCTGTGGAGGTGCAGTTCCCCACTAATAGAATGGAGCCCCTAGCGAGTCAGGTAGGAGTGTATGCTCTCATCATCACTCCTATCTGACATCATGGGTTTAAATTAAAAAAAAAAAAAAAGGTGCAGTCAAGGAAAATCGCTAATGTATCCAACCCAACTTTAGGGTCGGTGGGAATATGTTCGTATTCGAGAGATGCCTGAAGTGGATTTGGCCTCCTACCTCTGAAGAAATGACCATGAGCTAGCCAATTGCATAAAGAGAGTGACCTGGAAATATGTAACCCAACCTAGATTGAGAAGAGAGTTAGCGATCATTGATCCGGGAGACCAATTCAAGGCACTTATCTTCAAGGTCATCATACATATGCTACTAGCTAACGATGTCCCGTGGCTCCCTTTAGCAATGATACAAATCACAAACTTCGCACCTCCCTCAGCCCCCGATAGACCCATTCACCCACTGGCCTAGTTTACTAACGCCCACTGGTCCATACCGAAGCCAACTTGCAACAATGTGGTTGGAACAGGCGGTGGAGGTAATAGTCTCCTCCGCAAGCAGGTCAGACAAGACCTGGCAAAGGACCCCCTATGGTTAGATCTCTTACACCTATGGAAAGAAATAGGCCCGATAAAATTACCAGTTCCGTTGAGATGGCAAGAAATCTGGCGCCAACCGATCTTTGGTAACCCACATATCTTGGACGCTAGTGGTAAACCATTCTCAATATCCCAAAGATCCCACTGGCTGAAATGGACGCAGAAGGGCATCTTCACAATCGGGGACCTGTGGGACACGGTAAGAGGACAGTGGAAGACAGAAGAAGCCTTAAAAAGGCAGCTCCAACATATCACAAAACTGGAAGACAAACTGTCGGATCTGCAGGAGGCGGTACCGCTGGCCTGGACTCTCGAACTAAAGAGAGGGCCGGTGATCAGAGCAGCCGATTGGGTAATCCGACATTCTTCTCTGCCCATCCCAATGGTGGTCTACCAAGTTAGTGAAGCCACAACGGCAACACTTCAAGCGTATGAGCCACAACTACCAGGCTCAAGAATCTCCAAACTAACAAGGAATGAAGACCTGGATCTTCAATGTGTTTGGGCACAACTTATAAGAGTACGTGTAGTGGGAGACGCTAAAGGGGGGTGTTGGGCATTTGAACCAGTTACACCCATATCCTCCCTTCCCTTTGATCCGGCAGAATGGCAGTGGGAGGGTAAGAAGCCCCTTCCCATATGGCAGTTTACGGTAAAGGGCTGCTACCGTGCAGTCCATGCACCGGCCCCTGTTAATAAACCACTGCTTAACTGATGGCAGAGAGACTCACCTTTCCAAGAGGCACATATCCCCTCCCCGCCCTGGCCCAAGATTGCCAGGATAATGCCCACCGCCCACCGAGCCCTACAGTGGCAAATCTGGTATCGGTGTCTTCCAACACTGGACTGGCTGGTGTCAAGGTCTCGACTAGAACAGAGAGGCATTGTGTCCCCGATCTGCTCATACTGCGGAAAATCGTCCCAACCCAGGCTAGCAGATCTGGAGCACTACCTCCTGGAATGCCCAATGGCAATTCAGATCTGGAGGTGGTGGGACGCAACATGGCGCTCACTCACAGGTAAGAACTTCCCCTGGGAACCGAGAGCCCTTCTGCTGGGCTCGCCACCCCCACAACAGGCCGACCTCTCCACCTTCGAGCACAAGCTCTATCATACGACCGGACTTCTAGTCCTCATGGTCGCATGGAGAGCTCGATGCTCCTTTGAGAGGAAACAACATACATTCGGCTTTCCCCAAGCTAAAGTGGAAATTGTGTAAACAATTCGAGCGAATATCAAGAACGAATGGGATAAACTCAAAGACATGCTAACCAAAGTGCCAGATCAAAAACAGAGGGACGGACTAACTCAGGCTTTCGCAGATACATGGCTGGACCCGGACCGTAAGCTGGCCACAATGGACACAAACCTTGACCTTAAATGGGGACTATGGCCACCCGGGGATCAGCCATGGAAACTGAGACCACGACAGACTTTCACAATCCCCCCAAGAGACCCACCGATTGTCCTTCTCCCCCCGTCTTCCCCGTCACCCTCCCTGTTCACGCCCCTCCCGTCACAACCACCCGCTCCAACCCCTTCCCCTTCCCCACCCCCACCCCTCCCGACACAGCCCCCACCGGAACACCTCTCCGCCCCCTCACAGACCCCGCTCGAGCCCCACCCCTTCCTGCCACACTTCCCTCCTGAACTCCCCCCCCCCCCCCCCACCTCCATGCCTCCCGACACACTCCCCACCCAACACCCGCCCCCCCCTCACATGCCCCCGCCACCCCCCATCGATACAGTGTCACAAGAGGAGATAAGAGGAGACAGCGGACCACTGGGCGCCCGGGGATTGTGAACCTACAACACGCTTTGGGCAGTTCTCAAGATACACAGCTACAGGACAACCAACAGCTCCAAATGGCCTGCTGGGGCCGATCTCTACACCATGAATCAAAGGACCAGACATGGACAGCAGATCGACACAGAGAAGAACAGAAAACCTCTTAACTTGCAGCAGAAACAGTCTACATCTCCGCTCTCACCTGACAATGTCAAGCATGCAAGTAACTTAGGCCACAACAACAGATCTACCTGCCAAATCTCATTCCTGGAAGGTGAGCCCTGCAGATTGCACTTCAGGCTTCAAGGATGACGAAGGTCATGTGCATGAGGTTCGAAGGTCATGTGCGTGAGGTTGGAGCGGGTATAGGGTTTAAGGGGTTCAAATGCGACAGACATACTACAGGGGGGCTGCTGAACAGGGCTGGGCTAATAGATAATGCGGTGCTCTAAGAGGGGATGGGTGTCACTAGCAGCTCCAAGGGACAACGGAGGCCCGGGTCTGAGAAGAGAAAAACCCACAGCCCCAGGAAAATAACAAACAGCAATCTGTGTGTTACAAGATGTACCAATGGGACGCTGGACCCTAGCGGGCCGCTCCATCTATTGGTGGGGAGCAACACCTGCTGGAAACCGGGTCCAGCGTCCCTTAAATACATCTTTACAAAACAGTACATCAATTGAAGTGACGCCGATGTGCTGGAAACCGGGTCCAGCGTCCCATGTTCAATCTACTCTTCCATGCCTAACCTGCCGCACGGTCGGGTATTGGGGGGGGAACCACTGGGGGGCACCCACCGGGGGGCACCAGTGGAGTCTCCCTCCATCCCCTAGCCTCTGCCAACCACCTACTATCCTCTTGGCGCCTATTGTGTCTTTGCACATCTGCAATAGCAAGTGTTTTGAAAAAGAACTGGAACAACTGGAAAAACAGAAAGCAACAGAAAACAGGCTGAATAACAGGCTGAACTAGGCTGCACTGAGCTGCACTGAGCTGCACTGAGCTGCACTGAAATCCCCTGAAGTCAGCTGAAGACAGCTGAAGACAACTGAAGACAACTGAAATCAGCTGAAACATTCTGAGACTTTCTGGAAGGATACTATACAACAACTTCACTGAGAAGCAGGTCTGGACCGAAATGAAGTTCATTTAAGTACAATCGGACAGCATCGGACAGCATCAGACAGCATCAGACAACAGTTGTCTTCCACTCACCCCAGTCATATCGGAACATCCCTCCCTTGGCCATGGAACTGGAAAGCCTTATTACTTGAAGATTGGAATCCGTCGATGGAGGATACCTTTACTCTGAATTTATTTAAGATCTCGAGACGAGCGGTGATCTGGGCTCTATGGGTTCGTAGGTGCACCTATGAGATGGAAGGTGCTCGGCTTGATGGTCCTGAATATACAGACACTATCAAACAGCAAATTCAGATTGAAATCACAGTTAGATGGGAAAAAGTGAAGGAAAAGCTTAAATTCTTTTCTCTGGAAAAAGACATCAAACAGCACATTCAAATATTCAATCAAGACTGGCTTGGAGGGGAACAAGGAGGGAAGATGGGAAGGGTGGAATGGAAAAGGAGGCAGGAAGATGGGTCAGGGAAAGAGTCATGGAATTATCGTCTCACTTTTAATGACTGGAGTACTATTGACCCCAGTATTCCAATGAGTCCACCTTCAAGTTTCCCAGATCCCTTTCCCCCCCTGGGTGTGCCACTGGTTCCAATCTCTTGGTACGCGCAGGATGGTGTCTGAGATTATACACTACTTTTCTGGTTATGTTCCACATCGGCTACTGGAAATAATGGGTTGGAAGGTTGTTTATCCGTGGAAACGGACTCAGGCTGTGAGAAACAATTTCCTGTCGCTGACCAGGATTCTCAGTTTGAAAAATATCAGAGGATGGGAAGCTAGAAGTGCTAGATAGTCACGAATATCTGGCGCCCGTTCAGGGTGAAGAGGCACAGATGACAAATCCCCATTATCTGCCTGGTTTCCGGCGGGGGCATGCATGGCTGTTGGCTGTCCAAGGTGCAGAGACACGGAAGACAAAGCCCTCTTATCGTCTGCCTGCCTGTTTTTTTCTAGACTTATATCTGATATAAGGGGACGCTGGGCCCGGTTCCCAGCACGAGGGGTTCCTTATCATTCTAAGGATTTGTGATGTTAAGGGACGCTGGACCCGTTTTCCAGCAGGTGCAGCTCCCCACCAATGGAACGAAGCCATCTACCAAACAGGGAGAATAGAGGGGGTGTCTGCTCTTATCAGCATCCCCTCTATTCCCCATCAAAGATGTTTAAAAAAAAAAAAAAAAAAAAAAAAAAGGGTTATTCTGAGATGAGCAGCGATGTCTTATATTCGAACTGAAGTAAGCTGAGGTGAGTAGGAGTAGACAGAATGCCAAGAATAGGGGAAGTATGATTTGGAGAACCAGAAACCCGGGCCTGTTCTGAGCGCAATCTGAGAATCCCTGAGCTCATGCAGGCGGCAAAATTTCTGCTAAGGACAACGGATGGGGTGGGAACGGATCTGCAGCCATGCTCATGAGACGTCCACCCAAAAAAAAGAAAAGAAAAGAAAAGAAAAGAAAAGAAAAAAAAAGGGCTGAGTTTGCCTGCACGGGGTGCTGCATGCATGTGGCCCCGGGCAACTTGCTCGGGCCGCACGGCCTGGCGATCCAAGTAGCCTACGTTTTTGTCACTTGGAGTTGTTGGCGAACAATACCTAGAAGAAGAAAAAAAATAGGGCCATAAATTTCGTGCTGAGATTTGGGGAAAAAGGTTAGGGGCCCCAATAATAAAACTCTTCTTTCTGGGTTGTGCTGGTGGCTGTGTGGCAGGGTTCGAGCTATTCATTGCAGGATTGTGACGGCGGTGAGATTTTTGCTATGGTTGGGGTTATGCCTGGCCGGTGAGTCAGGATTATCCCTGTGGGCCATAGCTATTCATGTGAGGGACGCTGGGCCCGATTCCCAGCTTGTAATGGAAAGACTCCTTTCGGTGTTAAAAAAAAAAAAAAGCCGGAGGGCACATGAATTCTCTTTTTTCTTTTTCTTTTTTGGGCAACATGAATTCTTGTGGCAAAAGTTTGCATATTTCTGCTTCCTGCTGCTACCGCTACGCCCAGGCTCGAGAAAATGTCCCAGTTCGGTAACTTTCCGACGATCTTAATCCGCCAGTACACGGCCCCAGCATTGCAGAAAGTTTTTGTCGCCACAAGCAAAACTCGGAGGCCCGGAGGGGCGGCGCGACATGGGCCACCGTTGAAAAAGAAAAAAAATCTGCGGCCACTGAAGTGGTGCGGGTTCGACGCTGACACCCAGCTATAATGCCGAGACGCGCCGGGTAACGTGGGAGGCCAAGCGGGGGAGGGACGCCGTCGATAAATTGAATCGGCAGCCCTTTTTTCGTTTCGACATATGGGAAATCCAAAAGGAGGCTGCAGTTTTTTATTTTTTATTTTTTATTGTACAATCAATTCATGGCTCCATCTATTCGTGGGAAGCAGCACGTGCTGGAAAACGGGTCCAGTGTCCCATATACATAAAGATCAAAGTACAAGCACGTGCTGCAACCCTTACTTCTTCTCCAACCAAGGGGCAGCAGAAAACTTTTAACGGGTAAGCCTCAACGCTAGGCCTCTAACTGCCCACTCTCAGCAAGATCTTCCTCTGTTAGATCCATACATCATCTAGTCTTTTCTAGGCAACTATGTACCGCCTCACAACGAGTCACAAGTTATTTTATTCTTTTTTTTTTTTTTTTTTTTTTT